ACAAAAATAATGAGTCGAAATATTTGGAAAAAATTGAGTCAAAATACATTTTTCTTTTCAGAAATAAAAAAAAAACAACTGTTGTTTTAAAAAATAAGTCAGAATTAATATTTCTTTCCAGAAATACAATTATTATACTTTTTTTTAGAAAAAAAATTGTTTCAGAATTTTTGATTTCAAAAGTAAAAACTCCAGAAATTAGTCGAAATTCATTTATATTTTCATAAATAGCAGAATTAATGAGTCAAAATACCTTTTTTTTCGGAAAAAAAATTATCAAAATACATTTTTATTTTCAGAAATATCAAAAAAAGAAATGAATTTTAGATTTCAGAAATAACTCAACATTAATTTTGTTTCCTGAAATAATAAGTCCAAGTTAATTCTTATTTTTCGGAAGTAACAACTCAAACTTAAGGATGTCTTTTTTTCTTAAAACAAGCAAAATAATCCAACAGGGTAAGCAAAATAATCTTGTTTTCAGTTTGAAATAAATGCATTCAGCTTACCCCATTGATTCTTCAAAAGAAAAAAATTATAATTTTGACATTTTCTAAATCAAAAAGAATTTTAGCTCACAATTTCTGAGAACCAAACAATATTTTATTCACCAATCCAAAAAGAAGCTTCATAATTTGAACATTATTCAATATTTGCACAAGAAACAAGGCAAAAACTCAATTTTCTTCAAGCATTACTAGCAGTGTTGGGCCAATCCAATAGTAAAACATGCTTACAATTGACACAAACAAACGAAACACAAATCTAGAAGTGGATGGTTCCCGATTTCAAGAAGGACCAGCTGTTTTTTTACGTTTCTATATTGTGCTCTCTCTCTCTTTCTCTCTCTCTCTCTCTCTTGTTTTTGTACCCGTGTTTTCATCGAGGGCTCTGGATGTTGAACACATTTCCTCAATTTTGTGAGGCTGTCTTGAAGAGGCGACCAATATTTCTCTCTCTTTCTGTTGTTGTTATTGTTATTATTATTGGGGAACAAGACAGTAACGCTTCGAAAACAATTCCATTACGCGATAAAACTATAGTCACGCCATTCAGATTTGCCTTTAAACGATAATAAGCTGATTCAACTAAAACGCTAACACCAATGTAGACTATTAACATGAAGGCTCGGTATAGACGTGAGTGGGTGGGTGTGTGTGTGTGAGTGCGTGTGTGTGTGTGATCAAGAATGGGTCGAGCTGTACGAATGTTTGCTATATATACAAAGGACTAGTAACCTGAACCATTTCTTTATTATTATTATTATTATTTGTCATTTCTCTTGGGTTTTATTCATAATATATGTTCAAATACTTCTAGTACAGAGTATAAATAAATAAAAATAATAATTAGATGTATTATAAACACAAGCATCAATGTTTAAGTGAACACATTTACTGGTTAAAAGGTAATACTCCAGCATTAAAAACAAAAAACCAACAAAAAAAAATATGATGAATATGAATACGGTTACTTCCTTGTGGGCTAATAGCACTGAGCATTATCTTTATTTCCCTCTTTGTTTGTTTTTTTCTCTGCTTTTTTGGCTTCATCCCGCTCTCTTTGATACATAGTGCGCATCCCCTCCGTCACTGTATCTATTGTAATGAGATTTTCATCTACTGCACAATCAAACAACGCAACATTATAGGAATGAAATCCTGCGGAGCGCGTATAGAAACCTGCGGCTCGACGCTCAGATGTATGAAACTGCACCTGTAGACTTTAACCCTCCTGCCCTGTTAAATATGTGCGATGTCATTAAATGCTTTTAAACATTATTCCGCTCTCAGAGTCGTCTGTCTGTCCAGTAAACTGGGTTTATTTGTGTTTGTGTGTATAATGTCCCCGCAAGTATAGCAATTCCAGTCATTTTTGACCTTGTGGGGACATTTTATTTTTATTTTTTGGTTTCTATGAGGAAAACGGCTCATAAGTCAGACAGAATGAATCAAACGCCATTACTGCTATGAGAAGTCGTCATAAAAATAGCTGTATGTGTGTGTTTTTGAGTGTTCTTCACCAAATGTCCCCACAAGTATAGCAATACCAGTTATTTTTTACCTTGTGGGGACTTTTTTATTATTTTTTTCATGGTCTCAAAGAGGAAAACATCTTAAAAATCAGACAGAATGAATCAAGCATCATCACTGCTATGAGAAGTCATCATAAAAATAGATGTATGTGTGTATTTTTGAGTGTTCTTCACCAGATGTCCCCACAAGTATAGCAACACCAGTCATTTTTTAACCTTGTGGGGACATTTTTTATTTATTTTTTGACCTCAGTGAGGAAAAAAGCTTGTAAATCAGGCAAAATAAATCAAACATCATTACTGCTATGAGAAGTCGTCATAAAGATAGCTGTATGTGTGTGTTTTTAAGTGTTCTTCACCAAATGTCCCCACAAGTATAGCATTACCAGTATTTTTTGACCTTGTGGGGACTTTTTTATTATTTTTTTCATGGTCTCAAAGAGGAAAACATCTTAAAAATCAGACAGAATGAATCAAGCATCATCACTGCTATGAGAAGTCATCATAAAAATAGCTGTATGTGTGTATTTTTGAGTGTTCTTCACCAGATGTCCCCACAAGTATAGCAACACCAGTCATTTTTTAACCTTGCAGGGACATTTTTTATTTATTTTTTTACCTCAGTGAGGAAAACAGCTTGTAAATCAGGCAAAATAAATCAAACATCATTACTGCTATGAGAAGTCGTCATAAAGATAGCTGTATGTGTGTGTTTTTGAGTGTTCTTCACCAAATGTCCCCTCAAGTATAGCAACACCAGTCATTTTTGACCTTGTGGGGACATTTTGTATTTATTTTTTGACCTCAGTGAGGAAAAAAGCTTGTAAATCAAGCAAAACAAATCAAACATCATTACTGCTATGAGAAGTCGTCATAAAGATAGCTGTATGTGTGTGTTTTTAAGTGTTCTTCACCAAATGTCCCCACAAGTATAGCATTACCAGTATTTTTTGACCTTGTGGGGACTTTATTATTATTTTTTTTCATGGTCTCACAGAGGAAAACATCTTAAAAATCAGACAATGAATCAAGGATCATCACTGCTATGAGAAGTCATAATAAAAATAGCTGTATGTGTGGGTTTTTAGTGTTCTTCACCAAATGTCCCCACAAGTATAGCAATACCAGTCATTGTTGTCCTTGTGGGGACATTTTTTGTTGTCCATGAGGAAAGTTGCTCATAAATCAGACAGAATGAGGTATTTTGAAGATGTATAAATGCAGATTGTTTGCTGTGAGGGTTGTGTTTAGGAGTAAAGGAGAGAATATTCAATAGAAACATCATTAAAGCTATACGAGAAGTCCCCAAAAAGATAGCTGTACAAGTTGTGTATATCTTCTATTCCTTACAATGTTGGTACCAAATGACCCCAGAAGTATAGCAATACTAGTCATTTTTTACCTTTTTTGGTCCGCATGAGGAAAACAGCTCATTTGTCAGACAGAATTAAGTATTTTGAAGATGTACAAATGCAGACTGTTTGCTGTGAGGGCTGAGTTTAGGAGTAGAGGAGAGAATTTTCGAAATAAACATCATTATAGCTGTGGGAATTCCCCATAAAAATAGCTGTATGTGTGTGTGTTTTGTTTATTTTTTTGCCTCAATGAGGAAAACAGCTCATAAATCAAAAAGCAGAATTAATCAAACATCATTACTGCTATGAGAAGTCATCATGAAAATAGCTGTCTGTGTGGGTTTTTAGTGTTCTTCACCAAATGTCCCCACAAGTATAGCATTACCAGTAATTTTTGACCTTGTGGGGAGTTTTTATTAATTTTTTGAGGGTCTCAAAGAGGAAAACATCTAAAAAATCAGACAGAATTAATCAAACATCATTACTGCTATGAAAAGTCATCCTAAACATAGCTGTATGTGTGTGTTTTTAAATGTTCTTCACCAAATGTCCCCACAAGTATAGCAATATCAGTCATTGTGGACCTTGTGGGGACATTTTTTGGTGTCCATGAGGAAAACAGCTCATAACTGAGACTAAATGAAGTATTTTGAAGATGTATAAATGCAGATTGTTTGCTGTGAGGGTTGGTTTAGGGTTCGGAGGCGAGAATATACAGTAGAAACAACATTACAGATATGCGAAGTCCCCATAAAGATGGCTGAATAAGGGTGTTTCTGTGTTCTTTTTTTACCAAATGTCCCCACAAGTATAGCAATATCAGTCATTGTTGACCTTGTGGACATTTTTTGTCTCAATGAGGAAGACGGTTCATAAATCGGACAGAAAGAAGTATTTTTGTTTTCAGAAATGAATGTATTTTTGTTATTTATATATATATTTATACACACACACACACACACACACACACAGAGTCAAGCCCAAAATTATATATATATAATACCTTGACTTGTAGTTGATCATTTGGCATCAGAAGTGGCTTATATGAAAGGCAAAGGCCTCTAGATCAGTGGTTCCCAACCTTTTTTTGCCTGAGACCCCCCTTTCCCCCTCCACATTTAATGATATTATCGCTCATACAGGTTTACAGTAGGTATGACAAAAAACTGTGTTTTCAAATCAACTGTATGTGTATTACTATATCTAGATATGTTTATGCACAAATAATTTCCTAATGTACAGCAAAACATCAGTAGGCCATTTGTGTTGGTGCACCTTGCGGGACTGGGGAGTCTTCTGCAAATGTCTTAATAATTTGGACGTCCTTATGCATTCGTTAACAAGAACCTTGAACTATCAAGGACTTTTTGCTTTGAGAAAATGAAATAACCACGGTTCAACTAACTATCGTGGTATTTCCGGCATTTCGTGTTTCCAGTATTGCTAATACTGCGACCCAAAATGTTTGGAGCTTCCTCAGCTGGGTCCTGTATTCTTGGGTCATTAGTATTAGCTGCTGAAAGCGAATCAGACTTTTTTTGTGGAGGACGAATTACAAATTTGTCAAATTTTTTGGTCAGCCAGGGGATAAAATCTAAGACAAGATGATC